CGGATCGAGACGCGGCGTGGACAGGGGCAGAGCGCGGATCGAGACGCAGCGTGGACAGGGGCAGAGCGCGGATCGAGACGCAGCGTGGACAGGGGCAGAGCGTCAAGAGAATTACTATGCGAGCACAGACATCATGTGGATAGGAACACAGTGTAAGCAGGGATAGAGTAAGTGTAGGGATACAGTGTGAACAGTGACAGAGGGCAGTCAGTGTGAGCAGGAGCACAGTGTAAGCAGGCTCATAAAGTTTGTGAGCAAGGGATATTGAGCGAGCATGGGTACTGTGGTGAACAGGGAAATAAGGTGAGAATGGCTGTCTTTGACCTCAAACCACATTGGCTTCGTGTGACATAAAGTAGCCCTCGCAAAATTGGAGTAAATGGGAATTGAGGGTGGAAGCACTCGCATACCTGGCATGTAGGAGGATTGATGGAGGTCAGTCATCTCTGCAGGAGTTCCTCAGGGTAGTTTCCTAGACCCAACCATCTTTAGCTGCTCCACCACTGACCTTCCTGCCATCGTAAGATCAGAAGTGGAAATGTTCACCGATGATTACACTATGTTCAGCACTATTCATGACTCCTCTGATACTGAAGCATTCTATGTCCATATGCAGCAAGACCTGGACAATATCCAGGCTTGGGCTGAGAAGCCGCAGGTAACATTGGTGCCACATAAATGCCAGGCAATGACCATCTTCAACAAGACAGAATCTAACCATTGCCCCTTGACATTCAACGGTATTACCATCACTGAATCCCTCAATGTCAATGTCTTGGGGATACCACTGTACAAAACCTGAACTTGACCAGCCATAAAATTACTGTAGCTGCAAAAGCAGGTCAGAGGCTAGGAATCCTGCAGCAAGTAACTCACTCCCTGATTTCCCAAAGCCTGTCCACCATCTACAAGGCACAAGTCAGGCGTGGGATGGAATACTCCCCTCTTGCCTGGATTGGTGCGGCTCCAATGCCACTCGAGAAGCCGCCCACTTGATTGGCACTCCATTCACAAACATCCATTCACTCCACCACTAACACTCAGTAGCAGCAGTGTGTACCATTTAAAGGACGCACTGCAGAAATTCACCAAGGCTCCTTAGGCAGCACCTTCCAAACCCACAACCACTACCATCTGGAAAAACAAGGCAGCAGATACACGGGAACACCACCACACTTAATTCCACTTCAAGCCACTGAATTGGAAATATATTGCCATTCCTTTAGTGTTACTATGTCAGAATCCTGAAATTCTCTCCCTAATGGCATTGTGGGTGAACCCACAGCACATGGACCACACAGGTTCACAAAGGCAGCTCACCACCACCTTCTCAAGGGACAACTAGTCGCAGGCAATAAATGATGACTCACACAACAACACCCATATGTCCTGATTGAACAATAAAAGAAAGAAAAAAGGCTGTTTTGTTACCTGAGCCTGCTGCATCATTTAATAAGATTATGGTCGATCTGATTGATGCCTGAACTCTCTTTTTCTGCTGAACTCCCCTCTAACCTTCGACTTTCTTGCAGATTAAAAGGCATAAAATACTTAATTTGCTGTTACTCTTGCACGGGATGTGAGCAACACCGGCAACCAGCACTTATGCCTGAACAGCATAAGCAATCTCTCTGCATAAAGCATATCAACTCCCTTCAGAGTCTTGTCCTTGATGAGGTGGTGATGAGCTGCCTTCTTGAACTGCTGCAGCCCATGTGGTGTAGTGGAACCCACAATACTATGAGTGAAAGAGTGCCAGTATTTTGCCCTCACACACTGCCAAGGCTCTGAGATTTAGACTTACCTCATAATCTTTCTTCCCCTCTGCTTGTCTCTTCTCTTTGAAAACACTCGTTAAAAACTATGTTTTTGACCAAACTTTTCTCTTTGCAATCTTAATATTTCCTCATAGTGCTTGGTTTCAAACTTTGCTTGATAATTTTCCTGTGAGGCACCTGCAGGGGTTTTACCGCTCTTCAAGGGCACTATATAAATGCAGGTTCTTTAAAGGCAGCATTATGCTAGAAAGAAGAGTTCAACTTTTAGTTCCATTTCTCACGATCACTGTCCCATAGAATATCTTCCTTTTAATGCAGTAAACTGTTGCTTTGTGGATGACTACTATAGGAGAACAAAGAGATGAATGTACAATTGATGGTGTTGGCTCTACAAGGAGTATTTGTCAGTATTGTTAACATTTGACGTCTACACATCTGGATGAGAACTGGTTTTTCTGAGCTCTGTGACAACTGCAACTGAATATTACATTTAGTGTGAGGTGGAGTCGCATATAGCCATTGACCAGGTCTGGGCAGTAGTTCCACATCCTGAAGAACTTTCATGAATTGTCAGTCTTTCATGGCCATTTTCATGGTGCTGAACAAAAACCTGTTGGTTATTTAATTCAGTTGCACGTCATACCATGACAGGATTTGCACCCATGGCTTGTGAATTGCCGATAAATAAGCTATAGATGTTTCTGTTATTTATTTAGTATTTGGGAAAAATTGATTGTTATTGGTAGCCTGGATGAGCAGTTCATGGAATGCCCAAAATAGTCTATTAGAGCAGCACATTCAGGAGCCAACAAGAGAACAGGTTATATTAGATTTCATATTGTGAAACGTGACAATTAATTCATGGCCTCAGAGTAAAGGTACCTCGAAGTAGCAATGACCACAATATGAATCAATTTTACATTCAGTTTGAATGGAAGAGGTTTGGCCCTAAGACTAGAATTCCACAACCCTTTAGGTGAAGAAGTACCTTCTCAACTCAGTCCTAAATCTGCTTCCCCTGATTTTGAGGCTGTTCCCCCTAGTTCTAGTTTCACCCGGCAGTGGAAACAATCTCCCTGCTTCTATCTTATCTATTCCCTTCATAATTTTCTATGTTTCTATAAGATCCCCCCCCTCATTCTTACAAAGTCCAGTGAGTACAGCCCCAGTCTACTGAATCTGTACTTGTAAACCAACCCTCTCAATTCCAGAATCAACCTAGTGAATTTTCTCTGCACCCCCTCCAATGCCAGTACATTCTTTCTCAAGTAAGGAGACCAAAGCTGTACACAGTACTCCAGGTATGGCCTCACCAGCTCCCTATACAGCTACAGCATAACCTCCCTATTTTTAAACTCCATTCCTCTAGCAATGAAGGACAATATTCCAATATTCCACTTCTTAATTACCTGTTGTACGTGCTGTTGTACCAACTTTTTATGATTCATGCACAAGGACACCCAGCTTCCTCTCCACATGAGCATGCTGCAATTTTTTACCGTTCCAGTAATAGTCCCTTTACTGTTATTCCTACTAAAATGGACGACTTCACATTTACCACATTATACTCCATCTGCCAGACCCTTGCCCACTCACTCAACCAGTCTATATCCCTCTTCAGACTTTCAATGTCCTCTGCACTCTTTGTTCTGTCACTCATTTTAGTGTCATCTGTGAACTTTGACGCACTACACTTGGTCCCCAAGTCTAAATCATTGATGTAAATTACAAACAATTACGGTTCCAACACTGATCCCTGAGGCACACCACTATCTACTGATTGCCAACCAGAAAAACACCCATTTATCCCCACTGTTTGCATTCTGTTAGTTGACCAATCCTCTATCTATGTTAATACACTCCGTAATGCCATGCACCTTTATCCTCTGCAGCAGTCTTTTGTGTGGCAACTTGTCAAATGCATTCTGGAAATCCAGATACACCTCAAAACATACAGAAATTAGGACCTGAATAGACCATGTGGCCCTCTGAGCTTGCTCCATTAATTGAGTTTGATCATGGCTATTCTCTGCCCCACCTTCAATTTTGTGCCCACTTCTGTACTTTTTGATTGCTTTGGACGTTAAAAACCTATGTATTTCAGACTTAAATTTTCTCAATGGAAGAATATCCACAATCTTCTGAGGCAGAAAATTCCAAAAATTCACAACCCTCTGAAGTGAAGAAACTTTTCCTCACCTTAGTCCTAAATGATTGACCCATAACCTGAGACTATGGTCCCATGTTCTCGATTCCCCAAGCTGCAGAAAGAATCTCTATCAACCCCCTTCAGAATCAGCATATCAACTCCCTTCAGAATCTTGTTCATCTCAGAGTCATACAGCATGTAAACATACACTTCGGTCCAACCAGTCCATGCCGACCATGTTCCCAAATTGAACTAGTTCCACCTGCCAGCTCCTGGCCCGTATCCCTCCAAATCTTTCCTATTCATTAAGTTATCCAAACGTCTTTTAAATGTTGTAACTGTACCCACATCCACCACTTCCCCTGGTAGTTCATTCCACACACTAACCCCTCTGTGTAAAAACGCTGCCCCTCATGTCCTTTTTAAATCTTTCCCCTCTAACCTTAAAAATATGTCCCCTAGGTTAGAACTCCCCCACCCTAGGGAAAAGACTTTTGCTATTCACCTTACCTATGCCTCTCATGATTTTATAAACCTCTATAAAGGTCAGCCCTCAACATCCTAAGCTCCAGTGAAAAAGGTCAAACTCAAAACATCCAGTCCCAGCAATATCCTGCTAAACCTTTTTTGAATTCTCTCTAGTTTAATAATATCCTTTCTATAACAGGGTAACCAAA